GTCGTGAATCAAGGCGACGATTAGAGCTTACACATTCCAGACGGATTACCATACGACGTCTTACACTTAAACGATGCGTAAGCAGTTTTGCATACCGGCGGCAAAGCCGTGCTGGTAAATATTGATATCGTCCTTCATTCGAGCGACAGGTGCCCGACAAATCGCACGGATGCTCTAGCGATGACTTGCCAGTGACGGTGCATAACGATTGCGACTGTATGGTGATTCGCAATTAGCCTATGTTAAAGCCAGATTCCTTATTCAGAATTGAGAAATTTAGACAAAGGCTTTCGTACCGAGAGAGATTAACTTTTAATGCAATATTAAATATCTTGATAATATTATATTAATCGTGAAATTGAGTTCTATTGAGACAAAATGCATCTTAAATGAAGCATATAGGTTTATTACTTAATTTGTGACGTTATTTTCAATCGCTTATAATTTATTATACTAATAATATGATTCTTCCATATTATAACTTAATTAAATTATATAAGTTTCAAATACACTGTGACGGTATAAAGTAAGAAATTGATCTTTAATGATTTTGTAATAGGTATTATTAATATATCTGCAAAAATTTGCATATGAAAATTATTAAGCAAGTGAGAATTATAGGTGATTGAAAATGAACGTTACAAATTAAATAATAAACCTATATCATTTAAGATTTTATCTCTCTCTCGATAGAATTTCAGTTCCACGATTAATATTACCAAGATCCGTTTTGACCGAAAATAGAATTATGTCTATTAATTGATTTATTCTTATCGGCCTAACTTTTTACTTGTAATTATTAATTTTAATTAATTTTTTATATTAGATACAAAATTGTTGACCTGCTTACATGATCTCAATCCGTTTAACCTCGAAACAAAATTCAGGAGATCGGCAAGAAGTTAATAAACGTTTCGCTTTGTGAACGGCAAATCGCAAGGGGATCAAACTTGTTTGCCAACGGATAATTGCATTTAATTAGTAAGCCGTCGTGCGGAGTGCGCGAATCAGAAATTATCTTCCCCCGTCTAATTATGTAAGCGAGAGAGAGAGAGAAAGAGAGAGACAGACAGAAGGAGATCGTTACAACGTAGGGCTCAGATTAGCATAGCCGGCCATTAGCGCACGAGATCGTGACAGATCGGACAGATCGGATTCGCAGCGAAAGGTTTGCATCGTGAGGAGGTGGCTTGCAGCTCTTTAATGCCGCGTCATCCGAGATAAACGCGATTAAAGATGAAATCGTACGTACGTTTCCAATAAACCGCGATCGAAACGGCGAAAATATTCGTAATTTCTGCATTAAGCATCGTCGCGTAGGTAGTCTCGCTTCTTCCACGAGTGAGCCGAAACGATCGCTTCATGGGCGTGGCAGCGAGAATCAGCTTGCTTGTATCGTAATATAACGACGCGTCGAGATAGGAAGAGTGATTCCGGAGGATTAATTTATCCATATAAAAATGATAACGAGTCGATTGCGCCCACTCATTCTTATGAAAAATTCCGGCCTTTCACGATAATTAAGATCATCAGTGAAAGAAAATATGATAACTTTGAAGATACTTGAATAATAAATTTCGCAACCTTTTGATTCATATTAATTAACGTACGTCTGAAAAGAATGGCAGTGATGTTCCTCAATAGAAATGCTATTCACTTTCATAATTGAGTTATATGTTACTATAACATTTTCGAATTCCTACAATTTATCTCTCTTTATCACGGGTAAAAGATAACCTTTTAGACGATTCAGATTTCAATAATATTTCATTCCGTCTCATATCTCTGTTCTATATGGAAAGAACGGTTTTATCGAAGTATATTTAAAAATTTTATTAAATTAACTGGATACAGGTCTAAAAGTAATTTTATTGAACTGTCAAAATAATTATGCATGACATTCAAGATGAATAACTTTTGCTAGAATAACTTTTGGCAGCATTGTTCGTTATGCTTGAGAAGATTTCTACATAAATATTTTGATAGTCTAATAAAATTATTTCCAGATTTATCTAAATTTTTTTAAATATTTTAAAACTTGTTCTTTCCATGTAGCTGTTTTTTTTTCATTCCTACAGATTGCACTTTCTTTTTCTCCTTCAGTAAATATCAAACAAATAGATAACTATGTCACTTCAAATTCCAAAAGTGTGTACACTAGTTCAGATATAGAAAATAAATTTTATATCCCTCCTCATATTTACTTACCATATCTGTGTTTTATAACGATTGCTGGAACATCTAAAAATGTAATCAAATTGGTTAGATGTATTGGATAGATCTGAAACTAATTTTGATTGGTGGAACTACCAAAATAATGATGTATAACTTATGATACTCAAACCAATTATATAGAATGTCAAAACTTTTGCAGCAACATGTTTGAATTTTCTACATAATTTATTCTGATGGTCCAACAAAGTTACTTTCAGATCTATGCCTACATTTTTAGATACTTTAGCAACTCGTTTTTCCCTTGCAGCTCTGTTTTTTTTATTCCTTCAATAGATTGTACTAAAGCTTTTTTTTTCGTTTTCGTTAAATATTAAACAAATAGATAACTATTTATTTAAAATTCGAAAAGTGTATACACTAGTTCAGCTATAGAAAATAGATCTCATGCCTCTCCTCTGTTTATTTATGGTATCGATTTATGACGATCAGGTCAAAATTCTATTCGTTATGTTTAACTTCGTCTTCCATCTTCTCAAACATCCCTCACTCATCATTTTCCATTAGTCACTAGTTTCTCGTTGCCAAAGGCAAAAGGCTATTCGTAATATAACCGAGCTGACTGCAAGCAGGTATGTAACGTGTGTTTTATTTCGCTCGAGCGACCATCGTAGTCGTCCAAACGACTGTCGATTTCTAGGTAGTGCACTGCAATCGACAAAGATTGCATGAATAACTTGCGATAATCGTCGATTTAATCATCCTTAATATGATTCGGTGAACTGTATCAAGGGAAATAGGAAATTGTACCTGATCAACTTAGCGATTAATCAATTCTTTCAAAATTCCTTTATACTGAAAGAACAATTTTGCTTAAATTGTTGATTTAAAAATTTAGCTAGATACAGATTTGAAAAGTATTTTTGCTGGACTGTCAAAACAATTACGTAGGATGAAAAAATTTGGTAGAATATCAAAATATTTTACAGCCTTGCTTAAGATTCCTGCATTATTATTTTGATGATCCAATAAAATTATTTTCAGATCTGTATCTATCAAATTTTTAGGTTCTTCAGCAAAATTGTTCCTTCAAATATAATGTTACGCGTTGTGGCACGTAATTTACCAAATTCAGAGATTAAAAATGCAGAGAATGATTTAAATTTTTAATTTCTTGGGATGACACATTACGTTTAAGCATTAGAGTGCGGCGCCTTTTATGGAAATTTTTCACGAAAATTTTACGATAATGTAAGGCGTGATTCTTACCAACGATTGTTGGAATTATGCGGGATGATAAAAAAAATCGCCATGGGGGAGATTGCCAGCTATTTGCGTCGTTATTGGGAATAACGTGAGCTTAAGAGGATCGTTATCCACGATCCTTAACTGAAATTTAACCGAGGCGGCGAGGAAACCAGTTTCGGAGTCGAACAATCCAAAGAAGAAGGGAACTTGTTCGATTTGCAGAGGAACGTGATTTAATCCTCTTCGCTCGTACAAGACATAAAATAAGGATTCTATCTTGGCACTTTAGGTATCCTATGAATTAGATTAATGTCGGCGAATAAGTTATGTCATCGGTATATTAGTTTACAATGAACATTATTGTGTGCTTAAATGGTGTAAAGTATCTTCTTTCGCTTCTATGTCTTATAAAAATGATGTTTCATGAACATTCATGTTTAAAGAAAAATTTATTAAATTTTTAATGAATAAAAAAATTCAATAAATTCATAACGAACTTTTAAAATACACATAGAAATTAGAAATATATGTACGTTTGCTCTCTAAATTCTTTGAAGTGGAATCTTACTATAAAGAGTGAAAATTGAGTCAGTCTTGAAAAAGTGTAGTTTAATTTTTAATTTTTAGGAATGAGATTTCACTCTTTAGAGTAAAAGATTCGACTCCAAAGAGTTTAGAGTAAACATACATGTATTTCTAATTTTAATGTGCATTAAAAAAATTCATTATAAAATTGAATTTTTTAAATTCAAAAATTTAATAAATTTATAATTCACTCTAAAAGTTTTAGTATATGTTTTTTTTAAGTATTGTACTACACTAGCTGTGTGTTTAAAGTCATTAAGCATGCTAGTTGTTAGTTATATGTTGCTCAGGTATAAATGTGGAAACGGAAATGTGGAAACTGCGTCCTGGCTAATTTATATTCTCGTGTCGTGCGCCACTATAATTTATAATATCCTGACATCTTCATACGAGATTACTTAAGAGAAAGCTGTAGTATTCTACTCTAAGTCTGTATGCGACAATCGCAAAGTTCGACACGACGGACGGAGTCGAATTGAAGTTCGGACCTTGAATTGAAGACACGACCCTGAAAATCGTTTCTTCGACGTTCGCGTTGAGAGAAACGAGGGTATCCCTAGGTAAGTAACCCTTCGTAACACAGGGCCCCGCCCTTCGTCGACCGCTCCGTACCCCGCTCTCTTCTCGCTCCAGGTTAGAGCTGAAGTCGTCGACAGGGCTGCCACCATGCAATGGATGGAGATCCCGGGGTGCCGGGACTCGCCCGTTACATCCCTGCCACCCCTCCGTCGCCGTTCTCGTGGTAACTCATTCTTTCTCTGACGGTCGAGAGGTGCGGATCGTGCCTGGCATTTTGGCCACAGGATCCGCGTGAAGGAAAAAACCGGGGGAACGAGTCCACAGTTCATGAAGCGTTGTAGAAGCGAATTTTCGAGGCACAGATCGATTTCTCTCGCGAGAGATACGTGTCGCGTTCCGGGCGTTTTCCGGGACGAGAAAAAGAGAGTAAGCAGAACAAAGGAGCGTCTCTCGCGGCGACGGCGAGATATCTCTCGCTGCTCTGCTACTGCTGGTGCTGCTGCTGCTACCCGGCGCACCGCCGAGAGAGGAGCCGATCGATCATTAACCCGACCGTAGAGCCCGGCCAACGCGAGTCCCGTGATTCGCCCTGTGATTCGTTCCGTGTATGCACGTCGTCGCCACGCGTTCCGGCCATCCTTCGTCGAGGACGTTCTACGAGAGGAAAGAACACGGTCGCGTTTCCCCGGTGTGCCCTTTCACGAGTCTCATTTGGAGCATCGACGTACCTGCGACTTACGAGAGAGAGAGAGAGAGAGAGAGAGGAAGCCGATATACACAGGCTGTGCGTGTAGAGAGAACGAAAGATAGAAAGAAGAAGACTAGGAGCAACGGAAAGTGGAAGGAAGGAGATAGAGGGATAGTGGAGGAAAGAGAGGGAAGAGGGAAGGAGATAGAGAGAGGCAGAAACGGAGCGAGAGAGAGAGAAAGAGAAGGATAGAAGAATCCTGAAAGGACAAACGAGTAAGAGAGAAAGAGAGAGAGAGAGAAAAGCAGTGAGGGAGAGGGAATCAGGCTCGTTGGTGCGAGAGAGCAACGCGTTGGTGACAGAAAGACGGACAGACGGACCAACAGACAGACGCGGCTTCCCCTCCGCTCGTGTTCGCCGCCAGTTGGTCGCGCGTTACCGAGCCAAGTGGATGTGTTCGCGATCGTGCTCCCGTTGAAAAAGTTTTCTCCATCGTCACGCCGTACGAGAGTGAAAGAGAGATAGAGAGAGAGAAAGAGGAGAGCCTTTCTTCCTACGCACGTTGTAACGTCGTGATAAATCGGAGCAGAGCCCGTCCCGTCCGTTGTATCGGTGCACACGTGAACCTGTGTGAGAGAGAAAGAGAGAGAGAGAGAGAGAGGGAGAGAGAGAGAGAGAGAGAAAGAGACGCATTGTGCCGCCGGACGGACGTGCGCCCGGCGAAACTCCGATTTCGTCGAGAAAGGATTACAAGGTGCATCGCGAAGTGTGCTTCGCCGGCGACGCGGTATATACAGGGAAAGTATTCAGCGCTTTTACTGCCGAGATTCGAGAAGGTGAGTACCGGCGACGAGCCGACGATCGTCCGGCGTCCCCGACTTTTCATCTCCACGCGCCTCCGATCGATTGTCGAGTTTCGCGTTCTTTTTTTTTCTCGGTGAACAAAAGGAAGCTGGGATTTTTTTTTCGTGTCGCGCGGCCTTCCTCGAAGTAACTGTTGCACATCCACGAAAGTTTTTTTCACGAGCACGCGCGCGTGCGTGCACGCCGCGTACGTCCGATATCGTCCTATCGATTGTCGTTGTTCTTAAATACGCATCGACGATTTTTCTCGCTAGGGAGATCAACCGGTGGGATCTCCGCGCGCCGGAAATCAGGAAACGGCCGAGGCGGAATCGCAGCCGGGACGTGGCCGCCGCTCCGGGGCATCCGGATTTCGACCGTCCCCTCCCCGCGCCATTTTGAAAATGGGCAAGCCGGAACGGCAATCGATATAGCGGACGGCGCCAGCCGCGTCGCGAGGGGAACTTCGAGGACGTCGGCGTTCCGCTCGTCCTTCTCGAGGATACGATAAATCCCTATGCCCTCCGAGAGTTACCCGCGAAGTTCGGGTCGGAGTCAAACCGGCGATACTTTCTCCGAGTTTCGTAGAGTCGACCAATATGACTGAACGTACGAACGATCCCTCGAAGAACGACCGGTCGTTACGCCATCTTGATTCCGTGCCCCACCATCTGCTTGATGGTCGCACACTTCTTAACCCCCGAACAATCGAACCGTACGTACGGATTATACGGTACGTACGGTACGTACGCGCGATTTCTAGCCGACCTTTTCCACGCTTGGGATCGCGCAATCGCGCATACCGGCTGTGCCGGTATCTCTTTGTCGCGTCATCGACATTTCGAATCGTCACGCAGAGACGAGCAATCTTTTTCATATCAGCTCTGGAGATACATGTTATAGAATAGCTGCAGTGAATAGATTTCGATTGGAATTATTCCAATTTTTTCAGAAATAGAGATTTAGGGAATAATTGGACAATTCCGATCGGAATATATTCTGAATAATTTATAAATACTTTTAAATTCTATAATATATGTCTAGAATAAAGAGAAAATTTTTTGAAATTGTCTAGAATATTCCACTATTTGGAAAAAAGAAAAGCTTGCAGATTAAATATTTTACGGCGGAATAATCAGTTGCACCAAATCGGTACACAATCGGTATATCTTTAAATTACACTATTAGATATCAAAGGAGCAATGATAATTTAGTCCCGAGGTAAAAATAACATTATGTTATTTTTAACTTCCATCTGTCAAAATTAAGTCAATCTATTTTTGTGATTATATTGTTTCAAAATAAACATATTAAGTACCCATTGAATAAATAATAGTTAGATTAAACATGAGTCAAATTTAATACATTTTCTTAAATTAAATATTTAACTCCATTATCTTAGTTAAATTAATGACATATTGGGTAGGAATAGTGACGACCTATAGATATGATTAAAAATAACCTAAATTGGGTGTAATTGGACATTATGAATTTAATAGTGTAAAGAATGTGTGTTTATATGTGGATTAATTTTGCAATTAATACACAGAGAAAAATGTTTTGATTAAACCAACAAAAGATCTAAGAAAAATGACATTTTGGTGAGACAATTTCTAATTACGTGTTAAATTTAATAAATTTGAAGTGTCCCAAATGGTTCACTCAAATTTTTGTGTTAATTTAGTAAAATGAATATGTTAGGAAGTAACACAAAAATATTATATAAAAAAAGTTAACGCCAAACCATAATAGTGACAGATTTTGTAAGCATTCATATTTCTTTATTAAAATTAGCATTTATAATATGTTAAATTAACATATTTTGTTCATTTATTTTAGAATTTACGTTTTAAAACATTTTTATGTTATTCATATATTCATAAATTGTGTTATTTTGTTACTAAGAAAAAAAATTGAATATTATTTTAATAAATATTCAAATAACACAGTCACGTTATATTAAACGACATTTAGATACATGATAAAAATTGAATAGAAAATTTTAATAATAAAGACTCGAGTAGATCATTTCTAATTCAAATACAAAATATTTTTGAGTCTTTTTGTAGGTTTAATCAAAACATGTTTTTCAAGATAGTAGAATTAAAAAGAGAGAAAAAAAGAAAAAGTGATACAAGGATATATTCTTGGCGTTTTCTTGTCGAGCGTACGATGCTATTCCGTTCGTCCCTTCCCTTTCATTTTTCTCTTCGCCTTTGTGTCGATTTTGTATAACAGGCTTCTACCTGCAGTCAAGGCTTCCACGGAAGCGATTGTTGCTGCTAGGGGAATGGCGGTTCGAACAGAGAAAGGCTCGAGATAATGCCGATGCTTTGCAAAACGCATCTTGTTCTCACATTTTCACCATGCACAGATGATCTTTCGTACTGCACGTTTTCATCCTTCAACTCTCTCTCTCTCTCTCTCTTTCTCTTGACGATAATTTTCACGGCAAAAACCGTTTACCTACGTATAGACGTCGATGGATAAATGCTGGTAATGCTTGCATTTGCATCCGGTCATCGTCGTACGACGTCGACCGATTGTATCGTCGCCGACTGTATGTTTCCGTTAATTAACAGTCGCTTGCATATTGTGTGCAAATAGGGGACGATGTCGCCTTCTCGCGAAAATGAAAATTCGCTCGCGGCGCGGAGACGCGATATTCGCGATATTCGCGATATTCGCGCGCGCGACCTGCATCAGTACACCTGCACTGTGCGTGCACACGTCGACCGGTTCGCTCCTTCGTGTTCGATCGTGGCCTCGTCGAATGCACCTCTCGCGCGAACGCAATTCGCCTCGCGCTTTGCCGCCGCTCCTCATTGCAACGCGCCCTCGGGGCCTCTCCTTCATGCGGGGCTTAGCCGCGACCCCCTCGATCCGCGCCCCGCTTCCTGCAATCGGCAGCAACCAGTTTCAGCAACGGCGGCGGCAGCGGCGGCAGCGGCGGCGGCGTCCATGCGATAACGGGTCGTTAACTTGCCCACATCTGCCTTTCTCTCGTTCGCGCACAGCCTCCAAGAAAGAGAGGAGCCGATTTGCTCTTGTAGTGCGTTTAGCGTTGAATACGATCTCTGATCCCAAGATCGAGACTGGTCTTCGCGTTAGAGTTATGAGACTCGAAGTGGTATTTATAGTTCGTTCTTATTTTAAGACCATTTTAAGCAGAACCTTAAGATGCTACACTGATTGGTTCATGACATCTTGAGAGGGTCTTAAATATAAGAATTAATTATGAATATCGGCCCACGACTTGGTTCCGATAGTTAACGTCAATCATAGTTGATCAAATTGTCTGTTATTGTTTGTTCAGGAAAAACTTTGATCCAGTGCCAAAACATGTTAGACATATTTAAATGGACAAAGCAGCTAGGTTGTTCGTCGAATGAACATGATTGAAGAGTAGAAGGATCTTATCGATATTGTTAAATTTATAATGTCAAATTATATCTAATTAGAATTATTTTTATCATTTCTATAAGCCACTGCTTCAACGTGTCATAAATTTAATTAAAATGAAACTAAACAACGAAACTGAACAATTTAACTGAAGAAAATGTATTAAATTTGACTCTATTTATAAGTATTATTTACTAATTGTAAAAATTAAAAGAAAAATAATTCTGGCAACTATAAAGTGACACCTTTAAAATTTAATTACTGCAGCTTGTAATGTTGTTTTACAAAGTAATAAGAATTAAAATAATATTGAAGACTATAATAAAAATATATAATGTTCACTGCTACTCAATATTATCAATTCTTGTTACCTTATAAAACTAGTTGCAGGTACTTAAATTTTACGGTTACCAGAGAGAATTACATTTTTTTCTGCGTGCATACATTATTAGCGTGGACGTTGATTGAAACTGACAACTCTACTTCCTTCGTGCAACCTCCATAACTAATTTCTATCGATCTCGTTCACCATCAATGTGAATCTGTATTTGATTTGTCCGGCGTTGTGGTTTACGAGCGTTCTTCAGGAGCAGCTCTTCCTGGGGACTTTATTTCACCCCTGTTGTGTCCTGATCGCGTGTTTACACGGACCGAGGGGGTGCACGCGCCGCAACCAGGCCAAAAATAGATCCATTCTGCACCGCGGAATATGTACGGGCCGGATATTACATGTATACATACGTATGCACACGTATTTTTCAGGCCCACTTTCTCCATTTGCCCTTACGACGGCCGTCGGTTTTCGGCGGAACGAGCACGTGCGAGCGCGTGTATGCGTATCTGCTCACGCATGCGGGACACGCGTCCTCTCGCACACGGACCCGTTCGTGCCGCTTGTGTGCTGCGTCCGACACCTATTCTTCCGCGTGTTACGTCAAGCTAGTCTCACACACACACTTTCCGTAACAGTAAGGTTTTCGACCAATCGCGTTGCTTGAAGTATTACGGCTACGGTTACGGACGACCGAATCGAGCAACGCGATTGGTTCGAAAACCTACGTTACGTTTACGGTTATTGTTACGGAAAGTGTGTGTGACTAGCTTTATTCTCTCTATTTCGATAACGGCTGCGAGAGAAAGAGCAGATGTCTTTTTTTTCGGGGATGAAAAAATAGGATCGGTACAATGAGATGGAAGAATGAGATGAGGAACAAAAAGGAAGCCACGAGAATAGAGCTCGCGGATAGTATGTCTATATTTCTAATCACAATGTCAAAGTGCTGCTATTTCTATAATAGACGAAGGATCGTTCATCTGTGTTGTTCTCTTTGTTACATTTCCTAGCCGATTGGTAGGTTCCTTCAGTCACTATCTTACCCTTAATGGATACATTTGTTCCTTCTTATCCTGCTATTTTCAGGGTTTCTATGTGTGTCAGTTTCTGTCGAGCTGAACTCGACTATCGAATTAGACGCGTCAGGCGCGAGGAAATAATGGCTGATTGATTGGGCGTACAGTTACAGTTACACGGTCACGCGTGCATAATATATACGTACACACATACGCACACACACACTTGTACGCATTTCGT